CCTTCTCTTCCCTGCTGTCTGCAGGATCTGTGTTTCGACCTGCCCACCTGGTCACTACAATGCAGACAAGAAACGCTGTAAAAAATGCTCACCCAATTGTGAAACCTGTGTTGGAAGCCATAGTGACCAGTGCATGACCTGTAAATCTGGCTACTACCTGAATGAAGTAACCAATAGCTGTATTACCAACTGCCCTGATGGGTTTTACCTGGATAAGAGTTAGTATTTCTTATTGTTTCTTTATTGTGGGCTACAGAATTTGGTCTGAGAAGGTTGCTGGAATACTTACAAGCAAGGAAGGTGCACGTTGATGTATTTATCTCTTATCCTACTTCTCTTAATAAGTTGTTAGACGCCAAGTGTGATCAATAACCTCCTCAAAAATTAACCTGGGAATCTACCTTGATTTTAAAAATCATGCTTTGTGGTAGGATATCTTTTCTGCTTGTGGCTGGGAGTAACAGTACCAGAACAAGGGCAGTTCAAGAACAAGTCAGCTGTAGGACAGAATGGGTTATCACTACTCCAGAAAGGGATGGGCAGCACCCAGATTCTGAATGTGAGGCATTCCCCCAAACTTAAATGTTGTGGCACCATCAAGACCTCATGCACATAGAAGAGACAGATGAAAAATCCCGCATGGCCACTGAACTGGTGTTCTAAAAAAAATAGTCCTCAGATGTAAAAAGTGCTTGTAAAAATATTTCTGGCAGACTTAAGTACCTGCAGTGATGTGATTGCCCAAGAGCAGTAATTGTCTGCCATGTGAGACACCTGGCTTCAGTTTCCTCCTGTGATTGCCAAGTAGAGTGCCGATGTTTAATTTCCAGCTTTGGCTAGCAAAAATACTTAGACATATATTCAATCGTGCTTAAAATCCACTGACTTCAGTTAGCTTTAGACACATGCTTAAAAGATAAATATGTGCTTGAGAGCTTTGTTCAACTGGATACCTAACTTTTTGCTTTCTGTGTCATGAAACTGTGTATTCATTTTCAAGGATTAGCAAGAGCAGGTACTAGGTTTTTTTTTCCATTTTCACTGTGGAAAACTACAGTGAAGGTAATTCTCTTCCACCCAATCAAGATGGATAGATGATAATTTAGGCTTAAATAGGAATATCAAGTTTTTCTTCTCAGAGAGGTACATGGCACTGCAACTGTATTGGATGTATGTGTCAAGGTTTTGGTAGTGGGGGGGCTGCCAGAGTGGCTTTTTTGGGGGGGGGGAAGGGGCTGCCCTGTGCCAGACACAGCTGGTTCCAACTGGCTGGGCAATGACCCCACCACAGCACAAAGTTGAGCCAATCAGCAAAGTTTATGGCACCTTTGTGAACACGTATTTAAGAAAGGGTAGAAAATACTGGATGGTAAGAGGAAGAGGGAACAAAAAGAGTGAGAAACAACAGAGGGAACACCAAGGTCAGAGAAAGAGGAGGAGGAGGTGCTCCATGGTGGAGCAGATATTTTGCACAGCCCATGGAGGACCAGTGCCGGAGCAGATGGATATTCCTGAAGGAACTGCCACCCATGGAGAACCCACACCAGAGCAGTTTTTCCTGAGTGGACTGCAGCCTGTGGAGAACCCATGTCGGAGCAGAATAAAAGTGCAGGAAAGAAGGAACATCAGAGACACTGCTATGTACTGACCATAGTCCCCCGCATTGCTGCTCGGGGGAGTAGAGGAGTCAGGAGTGAAGTTGAGCCTGGGAAAAGGGGGAGGAAAGATGTTGTTTTAATGTTTGTCTTTTTGTTTCCCACTATCTGAATTAGTAATTAATTTTTAATTTTAATTGGCAATAAATTAATTTTCCTCAAGTGGAATCTGTTTTGCCTGCAATGGTAATTGGTAAGTGATCTCCCTGTCTTTATCTCAACCCATGAGCATTCTCATTCCTGTTCTTATTTTCTCCCCCCTGTCCTGCTTGGGGTGTGTGTGGTGTGAGTGGGCAGCTGGGTGAGAGTTTGGCTGTTAACCAAGGCTAACCCACCACAGTATTTCAAAAGGTAGGAGGTCTGAAGACAGAAAGGGAGAGAGATCTCTTCAAGTAGGGAGGCTTTGAGATGAAAAGGCAGGTTTTAAGTAATTTATGTCTTCATTTTATTAAGATCAGAAGTGTTCATGCACGTGTGTCCTTGAACACCAAATCAGGTAAGACAGGACAGGTTGCTTGTATGGAAGGGTAAGAGATAAATTGCAGGAGGGTCACTGGAACACATTTGCATTCATCACTGTATATTTCTGCTATATGAAAAGACTATTTAATTCCATATTATAAATAGTTAATCTACATTAAATAAAATTATGAAGGTTTTTTATCAACCTCAAACCCTTTTTTGTAAGGGTAAACTATTACTTCAAATGTTTAGAAATAGTTTAAACCATTTGATGCTTGATGGGAAAACCTAATGATAGCAGAATATAGTTATTTTAGTGTAGTTTGCTGCTTCCATTCCTGATGTCAAGCTAGAAAGCAATAAGTCATGTAATAATTTACCCGTATAATTTTATGAAATATAACTGACCAGGGTTTTCTGGGCTGTTTTCTTTTTTTCCTTTGTAGATAAGATTGTTTGCCGAAAATGCAGTGAAAACTGTAAGATATGTGTTGAATTCCAAATCTGCACAGAATGCACACATGGCCTAAGGTAAGGAAATGATGGATGTAACTAAACAGAAATACCTGAAGAGGCTTACGAGTCTATGGATGCATAGCAAAGATAATTACATAGCTATTTAATCTTGAGTGGTCCTCATTTCATGTGTTCCATTGCTGTTCAGATGTTAATATAGTATTTTCTTGTGCCATTATGGCTAACTGGATTTTTAGAAGACCTTTCAAGTAAAATAGAAGCCACAGTCATATGGAAAGCTGACTTCTTCCGTTTTTTGACCTACAGTGTGGCAGTTGAGGATTATTTTAGAAGTAGAGCTGGTGAACTGTATTAATCCTTCTGACTCATTCCTGTGATAGTTAGAAACTATTTTCTTGTCTTTATTGTATGTCTTCATGCATCCAATCATTCATTTATCTCAAGTATCTTAGGCTCAATTCTATTACGATACTTGCACATATATTAAACAGCAGCGGATGTTTTTTCTTGGTAGGGGGACTTAATTCCCGAAACTGAGAAATAAAATCCACAAAGAAGTAGTACACATTTCAAGCTCCTTTATGAATTAATTATCTTTTGTTCCAAGCAGCAAAGGTCAAAAATCTTATAAAATTCATAAAGGACTGTATGCTGGCTTTATGCCACTAAAAATATGAAATCAGTATTCAGTATCTGTAAGGGTTCTTTAAGAATACAGATGTTCTATGAATGTTTTAACATTGAGCTTTTACCCTCGTGTCAAAGTGGATTTTCATCTTCAGTTCGTAAAAGCTGAATGTTGTTTCCACAACATCAATAGCTAGATCCCTTTACAAAATGTAAATGTAAATCATTATTTCTCTGTATTTATGTTGCATCTAGATTTTTAAGTGCCTGCACAATTCTTACTACAAATATATCTTTTTTTTTTTTTCAAAGTGACCCTTTAAAGAGGAAGTATGATCAAATGGGAAGGAAAGCATAGAATCAAATCGGAACATCAGTCTATTTACACTCTCTGTGAAATAGGAATATCTACTTCCCTCTTAAAATGGAATTAAATTTGCAATCCATATTAAGATTTTAGAGAATTTTAACAGACTCAGTGTGGTATTCTGTCTATCTGAGAAATCAGATTAGTAAAGTAGCAATTTAGAAGTTCCTACAATAGGCAAAATATATCAGAAGACCCAAGATTACAACTTTACAGGACATGGTCTATAAAAAAAAAAAAAAAACTATGCCCACATTTTCTTTATTTCTCAGGAAATGAGATTATGTATTTCCCTGACAATTAATACAAACATTAGCTTGTAGCAACATTGAAGAAAGGAGATAAGCCTATTCTGGATGAGAAAGAGAAACTGAAGGAAAAAAAAAAAAAACCAACACCTGAGAAGAACCCAAATTTCATGTTTTCTTGGGCAATGTTAGCAAGCCGAGACTGTTTTTGGTAATGTTTATAAAGAATACTGTGTGGGTGTGACAAATAAATGGAGCCTTGCAAGACATGCATTTCATATTCCCCAGTTGTTTAACACTTACTGCACTTTCTTAGCAGGTATCTACGGGCAGGGCACTAGATGGGACTTGGGAGACCTGGATTTGAGTTCTGATCCTGTTATTAGCCCATTAACTAAACTTGGGCAAATCATTAGTTTTTTCCATCTGTAAAAATAATTCTACCTGCCTTGTAAAGTACTTTGAGATGTGTGGCTGAGGAAAAATAATAATCAAGCGGGTTTTGCTGCTTTTGTTGAATTACTCATTTAAACTATTTTTCTTTCCAAACTGGATCATATGCACTCCTGAAAATTTCCAGTGGTGCTGAGCACACACAACTTTTATTGGATCCAGTCTGTAAAAGACAATTAACACCTGCTTTGGGTGGTACTCCCTAGAGCTACAGGGCATTTTTAGAGATATGGCTAAATTGGATGAAAGCTGAGATTCCACAGAAGATGGCAAATGTCAGAGAAGTCCTAGCTTAAGAACCCCCCCCCCTACTCTAGGCACCTTATAACATAAAAGCTACTTAGAGAGAAGCATGGAAATGTGACTCTATGCTATCCTTTTTTCTGTTACTCACTATTTTGTACTATCACTCAAAATTGCCTGCAGGCAGAATACCTCTAGCTGTAATCTTAACAAATCTCCCAACCTATGCAGAACTGGTATTCAGTTAAGCCATTTGAAAGAAAACTGCTATCACAGAAAGAGGTCATTACCTTCATTGTGAATCTATTCTTAGCCTGTGCATGGTATCAGGAGATGCTGCTGGTCTTTCAAGAGAAGCAAGCATGAGATCTTGTTAACAAGTCCTTTAGCATTTTTTTTTTAATGCAGTGGTGCTGCCCCTGTGCCAAATTCCTCATGGGCAATTGTGTTTTACATGCCTGATTTTTCAGTATTCTTTGGCATTATTTATTTTTTTTCTGTCCTCTACTACTTGGTAGTATTTACTATGACTTTGTAAACAGCTGTTGTATTTCACCATAGACAAAACTATATTTCATTCCCACTTGAAGTGATTACCATTTCTAAATTTATAAAATATGACCAATGAAAGAAGCTGGTGAACCCTAATATTCGAGTTGTTTTAATAAAAGAGAACTACTGATTTGTGAATGAGCTTCTTGTGTTCTGTTGCTGTTATCTGCTCAGAGCTCAAACACTGTGCTTTTTTTCCTTTTTACAATAGTTTGCATGGCACCAAATGTGCTATCCACTGTGAAGAAGGAAAATATCATAATGGTAGGGAATGTGAACCGTGTCACCATTCCTGTGCGACGTGTACAGGTACCTCCCAGACATTTATTTGCATTTTTTTCTTTCCTCTATGTCTGTACCTCTGATTTTATTTTACTATACGTGGTTTCAGTACAGCATGATTCCTGACATGTAAAATTTTTATTCTCTTGGTAGTTCTTTAATATATTTTAAGTATGGCAGACTTTCAGCTAATATGAAAATCTACATTTTCTAGTTGAAAGTGCGCATACGCTCACTTCTTTGCTTTAATGGAGCTCATTCTAATTTCCAATTATGCCCTCCATTTTCTTTCTGGAAAAAAAAAATTATTGATAGTTTGTTTTTTTTTTAACCATGTATCTTTATTGCTTGATATTACTATTTGCAATACATAGCAGAAGAAAGGAAGTAAGGTAAGTAGAACATGATCTCTAAAATTATGAGAAGGTTTTGTTACAGTTAGAGATGGTGTCTGTTAGACAATAGTAGGAACTAGCCAGTAATGCAGTGTATTTCTCTTTGATTTAAGGTGCTGGAGTAGATGCTTGTATAAACTGTACGCAGGGTTATTTTATGGAAGGTGGAAGATGTGTGCAATCCTGTAGTAGTGGTTATTACCTTGATCACTCTATGGAAAGTAGATACAAAAGCTGCAAAAGGTATGATCAGTTCTTCAGTGGCTAATATATGTCTCTAATGTTTGGCAGCATATTAGTTATTATTGTGTATGAAAAGATAAATAATAGTTACGAGAACATAAAACTGCTGACATAAAAAATAGGAAAAATATATTGCATGCTAAGCAAATGAAGGAAAAGGGTATTTATATATTTACTTCATTTGTTTATTTATTTACTTTAATGTCAATTATATTCATTCAGGTCTTTAACAAGTGGGTTTTTTTTCTTGTGCATATATGTGTGTCCATCACTTTAAAAAGCTTGTAGTGAGAATCTGAGTAGATATGCATAGGAATGTAGAATTTACAGATCTAGTAGAGGAGCTATGTTTCTCAGTAACAAACAAAAAAAGTCAAACTTGGATTTTTAACTGCAAGTTAATTGCTATTCATAAGGACCATTTCAGCTGTTCAGCTGCACAGATAAAACATGACACAAATATAATATCAGGCTGGTGTCCAGAATAGCTCATCTTAGTGTACAAATGGGTGGATAAGTCTTGGACAAGGTCGTGCTATACAAGGAAGGGACATTTTTTATTTTGTTTTTCCTTAAACAAATACTACAGGCCCTTTAGAATCATTTATTATTGGCTTGCATTGAGTTCAGGGCAGGAATGGAATCACAATTTGTTAGATTTTTCCACAAAAAAACCCAATCAATACACAAAATATGATGCAGCCAGAAGGGTGATGAAAGGACTGGGCAGCAGGCCAGTCTTTTCCATCCTGTGGCTTTGAGCTCATCCCTTGCATGGATACACAATCCATTTAATATCTTTGTTGATTACTTTTGCATAATTCCAAAATGCTAGAGTAATGCATCTATTTAATAAAAAAAGTGTGAATAAAGACTGGTTGGAAGAAAGAAGCAGGACTGGGTTGCAGAAGTAGGTGGTTGTTGTTGTTATGATTTATTATAACAGCTGATACAGTTGGAAACAGCAAACAAGTCCTTTGCAGTAAACAAGGTATTTTGGGAACTCTCGCATTTGGTGAGTGGCCATAAGGCCAACCTCTGCTGCTGTCTTTCAGGTGTGATGCCAGCTGTTTGGATTGCAGCGGTCAAGGAGACAGAAACTGTACGAGCTGTCCAAGTGGCTTTAACCTAGACACTGGTGTCTGTGTAGTGGGAAAAGTCTGCAAGGATGGTGAGTGCAATTCTCTGAAAAGATTCGTTTTATTACTTCCAGCTTCATCTTTTATATGTATTGGGTTGGTTCAGTCTTTCTCTTGTTATTTTCTTGATCTGAGGTCAATATTATTTCTTAATGTTTTAAGGTTTATGAAAAGGAGAAAACTACATTAGTGTGTATTAATAGTATTATTCACACTTTACATGAATTTTCAAAAAATAATCCCCCCCAATAACCTACTTTTCCTTCATTATCTGTTTTTTATAAGTCATTGCTTTCAAAAGAATTTTTATATGAAGACCCTAGTGTACTGTCAATAGAATCACATTTATCTATTTTGCCATTTTAAACTGTGAAAATGCTGATAAGTAAAAATTCTTGTAAGTATCTGTACTATTGCTTGAATGATGTGAAAGGGTAGCAAGAGGAAAAAAAGTAATTTGAATAGGAAGCACTCAGTTTGTGATAAAGACTTGAACTTTCTTCTCTGAGGCAAGCAAGATGTCATTCTTATTGGAAAGCATTGGCTTAATTATTCACTACTATTCATTCCTTTCAAACGTCACAATTATACAAACACTTAGATAATGTCATGCTTCCCTAAAAGTGTTGCTATGTGAATTACTTGTCGGTGCAGTCCAACTAGTACAGTCCAACAGGACAATCGTACCAGAACAAAGCCTGGTGTTAAAAAGTGTGAAAAACATCCAACATCAAAAGTAGTAAAAGCTAACATTGACTCTTGGGTCCAGCTCACTCCATCTGGATTTAATAAGAGTTTTGTTTTGTTGTTTTTTTTTTTTTAAAAAAAAAAAGGGGCAGGGGTGAGGTTTGTTTTTTGGGGCCTTTACACCCCCCTGTT